TCGACGTTGCCAGATTGCGAGTTATTTTGGAATTATTTTCAGTAGAAAACAAATATGTGCTTTTCAGTGTTTTTTTGTCAATATATACCGTATGATCGAAAAAACGGGGTCCAGTTGGCTGGGAAATGACGATTGAGGACATTTTCATAAAATGACAGCAATCTTCATTTCATAGTCATTGCTGACGCTATCATATTATGCGGTATATTATTTTAATATTTCGCACAACACGTGAACGCTTATTACGTATTTTTATAGTCAATAAAATTATATAGAAATAAAACTGTAGATTCCTATCTAGATTATTATGCTACGTTTAAAAAGTGCTTTATTAAAAATTCGGGAAATTAAAAGGGATGTGTCCAAGTTTTTTCTTTTTTTTTAATTTTTAAATGCTATAGCTCCATGTCATGTTCATAATAGATTTTTTTAACATTCCATCAAAACTACGGAGGCCTTAAAGGGCCTTTTAGCCTCCGTAATTAAAATTGTAGAATCAGCTTCAGCAACATTAACAGTTACCTTGTTTAATTCTGCTTATACATATATTGCATTAATTTTTCTGCTACATTAAGATTTCTCTATTTTTACACCTAATTTATGTGATTTTCTTAGCATATATGATTTATAAACCATATTTTGGATGAAGGATGAATAGGATATGCAAAATTAAGATATTTTAACATTTATTTTCCAGACCAAGCATAATATAGTATTAAGATGAAGACATAACAAATATTATAAGAAAGATCTTAATATAAATCACAAACTAAGTCTTAATTTAGTCTTGTATTTCTATTATTATTATTATTCTTATAAATCTAATAAGATCAAAACTCAACCTTCACCATATTGTCAAGATTTGGCATTATAGGAAACAAGAAATTACAGTAAATTAAGAAAAGAATATTAAAGTACACGATATTAAATACTGTAATGTATTCTACGATACAAACCATCTCCCTTCTAAAAAGAAAAAGATAAAACATAAAGCTTATTTTAGTCTTATCAACAGGGGCGGATACAGGAATTTATTTTAGGGGGGGCCCAAAATGAAAATGTAGAATATGGTTTTTTAGGGCGCCATTTTTAACACAAAAGCCTAATATTTTACACAATTCACAGACTTTAGGGGGGCCCGGGCCCGCTGCTTATCAACACACTGCTTATCAACACACTCTTCGATAAAATCCACTAACTTGATATTTTTAAGAAATTATAATGAAAACATTAATTATAATCAAAGTATATTATATTACTAACATTATATAATAGGTAAAATGTTACCTCTATCTCCGATTGACGTTTATTGTTCTATAATAAGACCCGTCATGGTAGTACTTCAAAACATCAATACATATAATCAAAACTATTGTTGCCTGTAAATAACTAGAAATTAAATAACTTTTAATGAAAAGAAATAAAATAATTCTAATAAGTTTAAAACCATTAAGAAAAAATCCGTAAATGATAAATTTTAATTCTAATGTAAATATATAAATAAATGTTATTATTATTACAATTTTATATATTCATAATACTTTCATTTCACAATCTTCATTATTCTTCTTACCTTAATTTTGGATATCAAGATAAATCTGAAATTATAAAATTAATTATAGAATTTGTATTATTATTGATTAACACGCAAAAAAAAAATTTCAACTGCAAATAATTCGAAAATAAACTGCAATTTGGCAACATCGACGATGTGCGCTTGCGTAGTATCGATGATCAAAAGCAGCAAATATGGGCTTCAAGGTCAGCCACCGGATCCACACCTTTACCCAAATATAATACCGTATGATCGAAAAAAAAACGGCGTCCAGTTGGCTTGGAAATGACGATCGATGACATTTCCTATATAATTTTACATATAAAATGACAGCGATTTTCATTTTATAGCCATCGTTGACGCCGTTTTTATGCGATCATACGGTATAACCGTGGTATAACTTTAAGAATTTGGCTTGATTTTTGTTTAAAATCTAAATTGTTTATGTTTTACTATACTTTTGTAGGTAGTTTTGGTAAAATGGTGTGGATCCGGTGGCTGACCTTGAAACGAGTTTTTGCTGCATATAGTCACAGACACTACGCATGCGCACATCTTCGATGTTGCCAGATTGCAAGTTATTTTGGAATTATTTTCAGTAGAAAACAAATGTGCTTTTCAGTGTTTTTTTTTTGTCAATATATACCGTATGATCGAAAAACGGCATCCAGTTGGCTGGGAAATGACGATTGAGGACATTTTCCATTTAAAATGACAGCGATCTTCATTTCATAGTCATCGCTGACACTATTTTTTTTCAATCATAGTACGCCGGTATATTATTTATATTATTATTTTAATATTTCGCACAACACGTGAAACGTGAACGCTTATTATGTATTTTCATAGTCAATAAAATTAAATAGAAATAAAACTCTAGATTAATATAATTAATCTAATTGCTCTAGATTATTAGGCTACGTTTAAAAAGTACTTTATTAAAAATTCGGGAAATTAAAAGGGATGTGTCCAAGTTTTTTTTTTTTTTAATTTTTAAATGCTGTCCGGCTGTAGCTCCATGTCATGTTCATATTAGGTTTTTTTTAACATTCCATCAAAACTACGGAGGCCTTAAAAGGCATTTTAGCCTCCGTAATTAAAATTGTAGAATCAGCTTCAGCAACATTTACAGTTACCTTGTTTAATTCTGCTTATACATATATTGCATTAATTTTTCTGCTACCTTAAGATTTCTCTATTTTTACACCTAATTTATGTAATTTTCTTAGCATAATATGATTTATAAACCATATTTTTCCTAATGGAAGGATGGAATATAGGATATGCAAAATTAAGATATTTTAACATTTATTTTCCAGACAAAGCATAATATAGTATTAAGATTAAGACATAACAAATATTATAAGAAAGATCTTAATATAAATCACAAACTAATCTTAAGTTGGTCTTGTATAAACACAGGTATAAAACTAAGATCAAAACTCAACCTTCACCATATTGTCAAGATTTGGCATTATAGGATACAAGAAATTACAGTAAATTAAGAAAAGAATATCAAAGTACACGATATTAAATACTGTAATGAATTCTACGACACAAACCATCTCCCTTCTAAAGAGAAAAAGATAAAACATAAAGCTTATTTTAGTCTTATCAACACACTCTTCGATAAAATATATGTCTAAAATTGCTATCATGGCTGGGAAACTTAAATGGAAATGACGGTTCATTAAAAATAGTTTTTCCTCCAAGATGCAGAGGCGCAAAATATTAAAACTGTCAATATTAACAATGCAAATGTCAATATCTGACAATAATAAAATTTGATTTTTAACTGTCACTCAGAGACGCTTTTGTTGTGATTTTACGGTTTGATTTCGTTTTGATTTGTCGAATTATTGTAAAATTAAATTCCTTCAGAGTTTTTGCCAGTATTCTGTTTTTTAGACAATGTTTTTTAAAAATGGTGGGACAATTTGTGTTTTGTATAGACTCTTAATTATTTTTTATCATGGAGTTTAATTGTTGTACACCTGGTTTCCGAAGGATACAATGGTAAGTAAATTAAACATATCTACTTACAGTTATAGATTTTTTTAAATTAGTACTGCTAATAAATGCTACTTGCTGAGCAGTTATTTAAATTTTTTGCATGTAAGGAATTAAGGACGCGCGTTGTGTTATATTAGCATGTTCAGCAGATGATTACATCTAATTTAATTTGTTTTTATTATTTCAGGTCTCAAACGGAAACAAACTGGGAATCTTGCCTACACCAAAATTATATAGCCGTTTCCAATTCACTTCAAAGGGAGGAAAATTATGTAAAACTGCCTGCTATTTGCTGAAAACCGCCAAAGATTAAATTATAACTGTAACAACTTAATATATACTATTTCTAGTCTTTTTAATATATTTTTAAATTAATATCCGACATATAAGAACACTTTGTATGCTTTTAATTAAGTTGATTTATCGTTTATAATATGTTCGACCTAATTAAAAGCACACAAAGTGTTCTTACATGTATGTCTAAATTTATTTTAAATTAACTAAAACAACCCCCCTTCCCCGCACCCCTCTCTTCCATTAGTAGTTCTTCCTCCGACTACCAGAGGCGCCCTTGTATAATAAAATTGAAATGTATTATAAGTTGCCTATCTATTTAATAGTATAAGTCTTTTATCTATGATTGCTATTAATCCACTAACTTGATATTTTTAAGAAATTATGATACAAACATTATAATCAAAGTATATTATATTAGTAACATTATAGGTAAAATGTTACCTCTATCTCCCATTGACGTGTATTGTCTTATAAGACTCGTCATGGTAGTATTTCAAAACATCAATACGTATATAATCAAAACTATTGTTGCCTGTAAATAACTAGAAATTAAATAACTTGAAAGAAATAAAATAATTCTAATAAGTTTAAAACCATTAAGAAAAAATCCGTACATGATAATTTTTAATTCTAATGTAAATATATAAATAAATGTTATTATTATTACAATTTTATATATTCATAATACTTTCATTCCACAATCTTCATTATCCTTCTTACCTTAATTTTGGATATCAAGATAAATCTGAAATTATAAAATTAATTATAGAATTTGTATTATTATTGATATACTCAAAAAAAAATTTTTTAACTGCAAATAATTCGAAAATAAACTACAATTTGGCAACATCGACGATGTGCGCTTGCGTAGTATCGATGATCAAATGCAGCAAATATGGGCTTCAAGGTCAGCCACCGAATCCACACCTTTACCGTAGTTTTTAATGTAGTTTTTATGTAGTTTTTGAAGGGAGTTTTTAAAATTTTAAAACGTAGTTAAATAAAATACAATAAACTACGCTTAGTTTTTGACGTAATTTTTTGCTTCATAAACTACTTAACAACCCTGTGTATCAGCCTGTGGTCTAAATATTTTATCTTTATCTATGGTCCAAATTTTTTCAACTGATATTGACAGTTTTGTTTTGGTACTTCGATTTTTGAATTTTAAAGTTTATATCATGAAAATTTAGGTTAAAGATAATAACTTAAAAAAAAAAATGGTTTTGAGAAACATTTTAAGAAGAGCGTCCTTTAATCAAATTCGTCATTACTGTAGTGAGAAAGAGTATAGTTTAATCTTCATTACCAAAGGTAATGTTTTTAAAATTTTACGTTTTATAGATTAGGAAGCGCGACAAAAACTGATACGGGAGCAATTAAAGAAAGTAAAGTTATAGAAACATTTAGCAGGCAAGGTGATAATGGAAGCTCTAAAACCATTACAGGGGATGTTTTGCCAAAAGATCACGAAATATTTCATGCAATAGGGGCTACTGAAGAGTTGCTGAGTTATATAGGGTTAGTTGTCTAAGTCATATGACTAGAATAGACCAGGGGGGTGACAGTGAAATAGGAAAATTGGAAACAGTCATTAGTGTCATTCCTGTCATTCTCCTCACGACAAGTATGGCCGCCGAGACAAGGACAGCAATGTTTCTGTCTAACTATTGTCTAACTTCACAGTGTTTAGAATTGACAGAATTCAGTTTCAGAGACAACTTCAGATTTGTTCTAGAACAATTAGAAAATATTCGACGCCATATTAATTCATTCCGTTTAGTTTCGTTTTGGAAGTTCAATTTAATATTTCGGCTGAAATTTATAAATATAAAGGTAATAAAGTATATAAAATATATATTACATGAAGAATCCCGGAGAAAATGACGTTTCTGCAGTAGTAGGTATGTCCCATGTATATGAAAAATAGGTAGTAAATAAACACGGTTTTTACATTTTTTAGATGCAAGAAAATGGTGTTATAATCTCTTTGATCGGCGATTTTTTTGAAAATGGAAACAATTTACAGCAAGGTAAGATCATTTTTAACTATAGCCAACATTTAGCATTTATTGTCAATAATGCAATAAATCGGACTGATGAATCTGATTATGTTATTCGACTAAAAGTCTCTTTTTGCTTCTTTTTGATTTATAAGCCAGGTCTCTTTGGGAATAATGGACGCTTTTTTAAACAGTATATTTATATTTTATACCTATTGATATTTTTACATTGTTAATTTTAGTATAAAAAAATTTGTTTTTCTGTTTTCAGGTTTTTGTATAAGCCTCCCGTTTTCATGTTCCTGTGTCCGTTTTCTGTCCTTGAAGTCTGCGAATACGTGTGTTTATTTACAAATTACTGTAAGTCATGCTTATACCTTAACTAATTATTTACGTTAAAAGTGCATATAATTAACTAATTGGTATTGAAGCAATACAATCCTCTATATTTTTATATTTATTTAGTCACGTTGTTCCATATTTCAAATAAATATATGTGAATAAATTATTTTTGGTTTTATTTATGAAAAGAAAAATACAAAATACATTTGAACTGAAAGAGGGCCCGCCATTGAATAACCGGAAACGGAAATGAAATTGAAGCCATCATGTCCTTATCATGTCAACCTGTCAATTGGAAAATTAGTTCTCCAGACGACAATGAAGGCTTTCGGTGGCGTATCGTGTTTCCACGATTTAACACAGAGTTGACACTTCTTTCTAGTTAATTATTTTATGGAATAGACTAGAAATAAAAAACACTTAATTATTAATATTTAACTTTAGATTAGCAAGAGAACATGGAAATGAAGCTGAGCATGAATATACAGATAAATTAAAAAGAATTCAAACTACTATTATTGATATAAGTACAGCTATATCAAGAAATAACAAAATGAGCATACCTCCAATTTATACAAAAGAATTAGAAGATTGGATACATGAATATTCAAAGCAATTGCCGCCAGCTGAGCAGTATATTATACCAGTGAGTATTTTATTCTTGTTTTCTTTATAGAAATGTTATAGTAGGTATATTATAATTTATAGGGTGGTGGTGTAGCAAGTGCATCACTCCACGTTGCCAGATCAATTTGTCGTAGAACTGAAAGAGTTGTTTGCCCTTTGGTTAGAAATGAGAAGTTAGACAAAGAGGCATTAGTTTATTTAAATAGACTATCAGACTTTTTACTGACGGTATCTAGAATAGCAGCTAAACATGACCAAAGGACTGAGAGTATTTATATTCCAAAACCAGATGAAAAAGTCCAACCACAGTAAATGTTTTGTATAAATACATATATAGACTATATGTTTTTTTGTAAATATGCAGGAGTGTTCAAATGTTGTTACAAGAGACTGCTCATAAGGATTCAACCAATGCATTTTGATCTAACATAAATATAATTTTACTTTTAGGGTGTTACATTTAGTGCAATTCTAACAATTGTTTCATATGAAACGAATATTTATTGTGTAAATAATGGTGTTCCATAATATATACAGAAATAAGCTTTCAGAGATACTTGCAAGATAAGAAGATATTTTATAATTTTTTGTTGTTTAATGAAATATAACTGGATAGTTTATGTTTACCTTTTATTTTTTTTCAGATACATATATTTCTTGGGTTATTATTACTTAAATTAGTTTCAACAATCACAAATTCATCTTTAAAAATATTTAATAATTTAATATAAACAAATTAACATTATTAATTTAACATTATGCACATTACAATATTTTTTTTAAAAATATTCATCCCCCTGTATCATCTCTTTATAAGAAAGGACTTCTAAAAAGACTCCACCTTTACTTTCCGCTTTACCTAAATTATCTATTTCTTTAAATTGGCCAGGGTCAACCAGAAATACAATTGTAATCTGATCTTCATCTTTTTCCTCATTTTCTATTTCAACGCTCTCCATTTTTGCAAGTTTTTCTCTTAATTTTTTGGCATCTCTACCCTTGAAATTAATTTTTAATCTCATTTTTGCTCTTTCGATTGGTATTGAATTTGATTCCTTTAAAAGCTTTATAACTGCCATTGCTTGAACTTTCGTACTTTGATTAGGTTTAACAGAATAATGGGCATCTTTCATAGCTTTTTCAATAATTGTTACTGGATACGGCCTTTTAAGTTCAGGATTAAGACATTTATTAGCTACTGTGGTGGCTATGTCTTTAAATAATTGATCAATTTGACTCTGCCTTTCCTTATCAGACACCTGAAGCTCACCTTTAGCTAAAATTTCCTTACATATTTCTGTCTGGTTGTTACTGTTGAAAGCTTTAATCAGATCTTCCTTTTTTGCAACTTGGCCTTTGGAAACATTTGTAAATACTGTATGGGTTTGTAGAACTTCATCTATATCTTTTTCCCTAAATAATAAGTTTTAATAATATTGCAACAAATGTTTCAGTTCTGTACTTACACTAGATTTCGCCATGACACAACTTTATTTCTATAACAGGCAATTTCAAAGCGTTTTCCTGCTTTTTTCATTCGAACAACAGCAACATTAGTTAACCTAATTTGGTTTGTTGGAGTAAAAATTTTACTCATTTTAAAATTATCCTTTTCCCTTTTATGTACTCACTTACAACAAATTGAAATTACATTTACACGGAAATTACCTCAGACGAAGTTACTAGATAAACCGTGGGAGTTATTTTTCAATAAATATACTTTTTTATTCAAGAAATGATTTTTGAAGTAATCAAGTAAATATAGAAATGTCTGACTAGCTCTGAGAAAACTATATGATGTCTATATATCTATATGAAAACATCTGAGAAAAACAAAATAAGATATAGAAAGTAGAAATTAGAAACAGTTTTTAAAAATTAATTCTAGTCACAGAATTCTAGTTTGTCACAGTAGTTTGTGTGATGTGTCGTTGTGTGGTTGTGAGGTGAGCAGTTGTGAGGGAGTTTTGAGTTTGAGCCAGGTTTGAGTTGAGCACAACTAGGAATGACAACAATATATCGATTGATATCGTTAATATATTTTATGGATAATTTATTTAAAAGTATAATTTTTTAAATGTAGTATTATGTAAAATATGTTAATTTTGAACATGCCTCGGTTTGCCTCATTATGCATTTGCAATTGCACACGCGAGATATAATAAATATCAAAATTAATACAGGAGATCTCAGGAGATATTATTTTTTGAGATACCCATCTCTAATGAATATTAAAATAATAGAAAATTTTACGTCATACATATACAGCTTTAGAACTTGAAACAGAGATGGAGCCTCTGCCATTAGCATTCTTTTATTTTAGATTATCTGATAAAAATTTGACAACAATGTCCAGTATTGAACAAATTTTCCTTGCTTGACGTTTGGTTACAGTTGTCAAACTTTGTTTAAAAATTTATTAATTCGCGGAAAATAAGTTAAAATTATCTTCGTGTTACAAATATGTGAACTCATACACTTTGTGTCAGTCATTGTGTTCATGGATTTTGTTTAAAATGGCTTTAGTGACAATTCAAAGAAGTCCTAGTTCAAGTAGCTCTCCAAGTCAGGTATTCATAAATATACCTATATTTTTATTTAGTTTATCTGACACTATTTACTATAATATAATTGAGTATTTTGTACTGTTCATCTCAGTAATATTATTTATTTTCATACCGTGTTTGTGTATGTGGTTTGTATTCTTTTGACATAAAAATGTAAGGTTAAAATCAGAGAGGCTCTTAAACTTTATTTTATAAATAATTATTGCCTACGACACAAATAATTATAAGCTTACGACCCACAACACTTAGGTCCTTTTTATGCAATCTTTGCTTAGGTTAAAGACATTAGATTATAAATTTAATTATAGTATAATTGGATAATAATGTTTTATTGGGTACAAATTCATTAATGAATTTGTTGCATGTAGGTATGTATGATGTTGCATGATTGGTAAGCCACTTACTAAAAATTGCAATATGCAATTAATATACAATGCATATACTATAGTCTGTCCAACGATAACGACTCAAAAATGACAGAAAATCATACCTACTTATAATTTGATAATTTGCTTGTGAATAAAAATTATAGTCACTCTCAGGGACCAGGGATCCTCCCTTTGGACAGACTTCGTAGGACACACTATACTCTACTTTGGCATAGAGACAAGAAATATTACGTAAGAATATGTTATATTAAAAAAATGGTCTGTATTAACCTCGGTTTTAACAGAGAAAACCTATTTTCTGTCTAGATAGAGCAAAACCGACATAAGTAGATGTCATGGGCTCGATTTCTGAGACACGTTTAATGGCATAAACCGCCTGTTGATATTTCCACTGCCAACTGAGATAAGTTTTTTTTTAATTTTTTACCATTTTGAAAATTGTAATTAGTATTACCAATTACAAATAAAACGCCAGGGTTACAACTGAACTGTTAAATGGAGAATTTAGAGAGAATTGGATTGGAACAAAGGGCCCGACATCTTGACCTGCTAGGTCCTGTGATTTAACCCCTTTGGACTTTCGGAAATTAAGAGACCTTATAGATACCGGGATCTATGACCTACAGTGGTGTGGAACTTAGGTCTGCCAATGAAATAGTGCGGTCTTTTGCGCGATGTTTTGAGAGCGCGTTCACTCAGTCCCGTAAGATTGATAAAGATACATTTATAGAAGAACACTCATCGAACAACATTGCAGTAAATAGCCTTAGTGAAACAGAAATTCTTGGTGCGCTAAGATCTCAAAAGAACAAATTGTTAGCTGGACACGATCAGATTCCATCATTTTTATTACGCGATTGCGCAGGAGCACTAGCGACTCCTCTTGCTTATATATTTAATTTGTCGCTTAAAACAAAGACATTTCCTAACGCTTGGAAGCTAGCTCGAGTGTCGCCTATTCATAAAAAAGGTAGTACCAGTGAAATAGAGAATTATAGACCAGTGGCTATATCCTCAAGTTTAGCCAGAACATTTGAGTCGTGCCTGCATGCTAATTTGTTCTCTCAGATAAAAAAAATAATAAATCCGCAACAACATGGCTTCTTTGCACGACGGTCAACTGTCACTAATTTGGCCTGTCTCATGGAGGATGCTTACGAAACAATAAAGCAGGGCGAGCAGTTGGACTGTATATACACGGACTTTTCTAAAGCGTTTGACTTTAGTATTGTAGCTTGCAAAATGTCTCGCTTGGGATTTTCGAATGACCTGGTTTTCTTTTTCATTTCATATCTAACAAATCGGCGCCATTATGTAGAGTATAGCGGATACAGGTCCGATGAATTCACTGCATCCAGTGATGCGCCACAAGGTTCTAACTTGGCCCCTTTGATCTTTTCAATCTTCATTAACGACATCTGCGATTCTCTGGAAAGTTCCATACTACTATTTGCAGACGATTTAAAAGTTTATAGGTCCATACGTACAATAAATGATTGTAAAGCCCTCCAGATGGATTTAGATCGTTTATCTGATTGGTGTAAGGTAAACCGATTACCGCTAAATATTCTAAATAATAACAAATGCAAAAAAATAACTATATCGCACAAAAGAAATGAATTTACATTTGATTACGTACTAGACGGTGATGTATTGGAGGACTGTAAATCGGTTATGGATCTTGGTGTATTAATAGATAAAAAGTTGTCTTTTAACCCACACATTGATATGATCGTGCAATCGGCACTGAGACTGTTAGGGTTTATCAGTCGAACAACATTGCATTTTAAGCAGCCCTCAAGCCTTCTCACCCTGTACAATTCTATGGTCAAATCCAGGCTGCAATATGCCAGTGTCATCTGGTCTCCATTTTACGCTATTCAATTGACCGTTTGGAGAAAGTACAGCGTAGGTTCTTGAAATTATCACATTTTAGAACTTACGGACAGTACCCCCGCATGGGTTTGATCAGCTGGATATGTTGAACAGTTATAATATATTACCTCTTGAGAGGTGCAGAATACAAAATAACTTATGTTTTATCTTTAAACTGTGCAACAACTTGATAGAGTGTACTCAGTTGTTAAACAAAGTAAACTTTGCGGTCCCGCTTGCAAATACTCGACAGTGTCGTGAATTTTATCAGCCGTTGGCGACATCAAATCTGCAGCAGAAAGCGCCCATATACCGTTCTTGCTTTCTATGGAACAACTTAGCAAATTATAACAATATTACTATAGACCTGCATAATTGTTCGTTAGACTCACTTAAAAGAGCGCTGAGGGTTGGAAATCTTGAGGTTCATCGGTAGGGATTTTTTTTTAAGTTGGTTAATATAGGTTTATTTGATTTACTCTGTTGCGTAATAAGTTTATTTAATTTAATTTAATTTACTCTGTAGGTAATATAGGTTTATTCAATTTACTCTGTAGTTAATATAAGTTTATTTAATTTACTCTACTTCAGTTCATGTTGTCTAGTAATTGGATTTTTTGTAATCTGTTGGACAATAAAGCATATTATTATTATTATTATTATAAGTGAAGAACCATTAGGACGAGAGAAGAATTGCAGGAGGCTACTAGGCAAGCTTTTGGATTTATTACACCAGTTCACCTAATAAATAGCTGTAACTCTGTGTGCAAAAGATGTTTGTTGTGTATTCAACAAGGGGATGTTAAAAAATTATATTTTTTATTATTTCTGACAAAAAGAGCAAGTAGCTGTAGAAAAAAAACTGACTACGCCACTGGATTGTGCCTAAAAAAGTGCCTTAAGAACGTTTTTACAAAATTTTATTATTCCCCGAAATAAAAAAAATATAGGCAATTTTCAAAATGGTCAAAAATTCGAAAAGACCCCGTATCTCAGCTGGCAGTGAAAATATCAAGCGGTTTATGCTATTAAACGTGTCTCAGAAATCGAGTTAGTGACATCTATGGCCCGTTTTGCTCTGTCTAGTCAGCAAATAGATTTTCTTTGTTAAAACATACTAATTTTGACCACCCTGTACGTTAAAGTAGGAAATATCTTCCTATGAAAATTGCTGAAAACCTATTTTTGATTAAATTCAAACCATAAGGTATACACGAGGATGTATTTCAGGAAAATATTTTAACTTCTATAGGATGGCTCAAAAAAGTGTGAGTGGATCGGGATGATTTTGTGTATCTGTATATTATTGCATTTTTGGCTTCCTGTCAGATCACTTAAGATAATCCTAAGACATGAGTAAATATATTTCGATAATAGGTATCAGAGATTTAATAAATAAATAAAAAAAATATATTTTTAACCTTCCTCAAAAAAAATTATTACAAATACAAGAACTGCCCTGAAATCAAAACTATATTAGGTATTTACTTTAGATGATTTGTACTTACTTTGCTATAAATATCCAAAAATCCAAAAATGCTGCAATATACAGGGCGTTCCATTTAAAAAAAATCATTCCAATCCACTCACTTTTTTGCTTTTTGTTTTTTTAGCCACCTTCTAGAAGATAAAATATTTACAAATTATATTTGAAATACATCGTTGTATATACTTTAGGGTTGCACTTAAACAAAATTCCCAAGTTTTTTATTCTAGGAGCTACAGATGCCCGACGTACTGTTGCTGGACCCTGTATATATTTTAGTATCATTTTGCTTTCACTTGTTATTTTTTTCTAAGGTAACATAATTTTGAATTGATTGAATTCAGTCGATGGACTTTTGAACGGACAATATTAGAGTTAAGGCGGAATTACATTACTGTCACGTCACGTGAGTTTACATGCTATCACAGTAAAAGTGAGTTCACGTGTGGTTTAAAGGAAACACATTAGTATCACGTCGTTCTTTCATATTATGCGCATTTAATTATGAACCGAAAGCCATTTCTCGTTCGTTCAGCGTTCTTCTCAAGTTTAACAACTTAGGTCCTATACTTAACGTAATAATGAATCAAATAAATAGTTCATCTTCATCTTCTGAGTTTGAAGAAGATTTAGAAAAC